AAATCACTCTGTGCCTTAGCGAGCAGTCTCTGCAAATCTCAGGTGGCCAAAGGGTGCAGACATGGGACAGTCTGGACCTGTCCGTATGCACCCACACTGTAGGTAACTGTTGAAGGATTAACTGATGACCTCTTAGTGTTCGCAAAACTCGACTCAGCTGAGTAGGGAGAGGAGTTTAACTGGGGAATAGAGGAGGAGCGGGAGGGTGGATGACTAAAATTGGGGGAGTGGTTGAGCAACGACCGGAGGAGAGAGGGGGAGGGGGTTCGATTGCCGATGAGGTCCCTCCAACGATTACTTCTCAAAACCTCATCGGCGCTTTGTTTTATAGATGAAGGAAGAACAGATTCGACAAGAAAAAATGGAAAACCCTCTGGTGAAGCTAAAAATGCAAAGGCTGTTGAGGAAAGCAATGGAAAAAAAGGAGAAAAAGCGACTGAAAAAGCTCAAAATGAAGGAGAAAAAGAAAAGAAAGCACAGACACAAGTCGGGCGGAGATAGCGACAGGGAAGATGTCAAGGTCGGAATTACATAAATTGAGAACATTTTTCATTATACACTGTTTACATGGAGTTTGGGCCAACAGTTGCAAAAACTTTGGCGCCTTTCGAATAGTTACACCTTTCAGATATTAGTCTAGCGCATCAAAATGTGGTAGGCCAAAGAGCTGTTTCTTTTTTTTTTCGAAAATGCTTTTCGTCTAGCTGTTCTATAGTGTTCGTGCTTTTTCCAGGAACCCAAGGCAGCGAACGCTTTGCAGAGGGACACTCATATTCCAGCGCATTTGCGGCCAAGAAGTGTAAGTTGCCGCTATTCTTTGCTGATTTGAAGCAGCATGCATTTATCAAAATTTTTAGAGCGCATCTGGTAGCGAGGACGAACAGTGTTCCAGCAGGTCGGGAAGTGAGAAGCATGGCTTGTCAAAGACCACGAAACGTGGCGAATCCGAGAAAGAGCATTTTGGCAATCCATACGAACTGATCAAAAAACGCCCTGCAACTTCGTACAAGGTTAAAAATTGTAGCAGCTTGAAAGCCTTAAAAGTGAAAGTATCAGTGTGCTACCTCTTATGATGAAAAATTGCAGAAACCAGAGAAGCGCCAGCTAACCGAGAAAGAAATGGAAGCAAAACGGAGAGAAATGATGG